CTCGGGTTCAGCCGCGAGGCAATGAGGCACAGGAACCTGGTGAAGTCAGAGCCCAGTGTGCGTGGAAATAGCCGCAGGATAGTGACGGGGGACACGGTCAAGGCGAGGGCGATAGCGCACTTCAACTGCGAGTCGCTCAAGGGCATGGAGCTGGAGCAGGACACTGAGGGCGGGGAAGCGAAGTTGCCTCACTGGGAGGGACGCAACGCCCTGGACGAGCTGATGGCTCCCACGGTCGGTGCCGGCTACTACACGGCACTGACGCTGGCGCTGTTTGAGGACCTCGGCTACTACCGCGCAAATTGGAGCATGGCGGAGCCGATGGGCTGGGGCAACAACTCCGGCTGCGAGTTCCTGCAGAAGAAGTGCAACGACACCGAGAACCTCGCCACCAGGTACCCGCACATGTTCTGCAATAAGGAGGACACAGCGACGCTTCGCTGCTCCTCTGACCGCCGTCACGTCGGGACGTGCACCGCAGGCATCGTGGAGCAGAGTGGGAACTTGTACCATAAGGACGTGTGCCCTGTTGTTTCGGCGTATCTTCATGATTCAACTTCTGAGAGAAGGTCCAACGCGTGCGCGGACGCAAGTGAGAAGGATCTCCCTGGGTCGCTGACTGGCACTGACTCGTGGTGCCTGGACGCGGAAGCGCTGCAGGTGAAGGGTGACGCCGGTGGCAAGAAAATAGAGGGTGTGTGCGCGCAGGTGCTGTGCGAGGGCGGCGCAGTGAAGGTGAAGTACCTCGGCGCCAAGGAGCCTGTGCCATGCCCCGCGGGAAAGGAAGTCACGGTGGTGGCAAATGATCATCTGGAGGGCGGGAAGCTAAAGTGCCCGAAGTACGAGGAGGTGTGCACCATCGCCGCCAACGGCAGCAGCCTCGTCATTCCACGCGTTGAGGAGGTGGGGGCGAACGGAGACGCCGAGGAGGAACAAAAGGAAGACGCAGCTGAGCGCATAAAGAAGGAAAAAGAGGAGGCGGAGGATGCTCCGGCACTTGAGCCACAGCGTGCAGAGTTGTCTTCTGGAACTGCGGGCGGCGTTCTTTCCAATCCAAAGGCGGCGGCGGAGGTTGGGCGCGGCACATTGCCGGCTGCTGAGACGCAGGGGCGAGCAAATGGCCCTGGCGGTCCCGCTCACTCCGCTGCTGCCTCGCCGCCCTCCGCTGCCGCTGCCCGCTCACCGGACGAGGCCGTTGCCGCAAAAGAAGGCGACGCGGCGGGCGCGGCGGGAGCAGCTGCTGCGTCCTCCGATTTGCCTGCGCCGCCCACCCCGACACCGGCGGCAGCCGTCAATGGCAGCGCCGTGCTGAAGAAACTTGAAGTGGCGGCGCAGCAACTCGGAAGCGACGTCGGTGCGGCTGCTGCGGCTGTTGGCTGCAGTCACTTTGTGCTGCTCGCCGTGGCTGCCGCGGTCGCGGCGGCGACGCTGT